TATATATATATATATATATATATATATATATATATATATATATATATATATATATATATATATATATATATATATATATATATAGGTAAAGTGCACTAAAACCAGATCAAGTCCTTGTTATTCTCTACATTCACTTTATATACCCAAATTGGAGAATTGGGTGCTCAAAATATAATTTGTATACGGGGGTACATGATAACTTTAAACTTTTAAACTTTGTACTAAAATTTTAAGAAAGAACTGTGAATATATAATAGATCATTGGATAAATAAGATTTATTGAATTATAATAATTTCAACATGGTGTATTTATTCCGTGCTGCTGTCTTACTGGTCTCTTCAAGACATCAGCAATGCTTTACAAAGACTTCCTACATCTGTGGAACGAGTCCGTGCAGGCGGTGGAGGCCAAGGACTGGCAGAGAGCGATAGGCCAACTCAAAGAGATCAGTGAACCAACCTCTCAGACCCTGTTCAACACGGCCGCGGTTCATCTGGCTCTAGGTCGAGTGGACCTGGCTCTGCAGGTTTGTTTTTGTTGTTTTTCTTTGTCTTTTTCTTTTTTTTTTTTACAATATCATGCCGTGACACAGTTGACAAAAGGAAGAACTGTACTGAAACGTCAGGTGAGAAAAGAAAGCCAGTTGGTTTAGCCCTGTGACAATCAGTTTGTAAATGTGTACAAAGTGATAAGATTTCTTTAACTAAAATATTTTCTACCTATCTATCTATCTTTCCATCTGTCTGTCTTTCACTGAGACTTTGTAAACTACCTGATTCTACCTTGTATAGTTCCCAAAACGTACATCGTGGGTCGTCATATCTAATACCTAAAGTGAATTTTAATTTCATTCCCTCAAATCCAGGCTTTAGACCTGGCCATAGTCAAAGACGAACGTCTGGCTATTGCATTCTTTCAGAGAGGAGCAGTGATGATGCAGATTGGCAGGTAAGCAAATGCCTATTTGCAAATAACTAATAACTAACCCTGACCTATAGATCAAGTTATGTCTCTCTGTTATACATCCGCCGTCCGTTTGTTTTGTACGCCGGGACGGCAGTTTTTTAAAGAGCCTTCAACATTCACAGTGGAAAAATATTTTTACTTTAATTGCACGTACTAAGTAGGAGACACAAAGGCTGAATGTGAGAGCACACAAGCAGAAATTGGTTTTTTAATAATAATTCCAGTACTCTCACTTTACGCAGTTAAATCCTCACAAATACACCTTTACGTTTTACACCTTTACTTTTTAACAAGTTACACATGTCCAACAAGTCAGCAGGTAAACCCAGAACAAAAATTAGACTTTGAAGGAATAAATTGCTAAATTCATCTTTTTAAAAAAAAAAAAAAAATTACTAATAATTACATGTAATTCTGTTTTATTTGATAAGATTAGAAATTTGTTTTTACCAAAATTATCATAAAAAAAATCCACTATCCAGCTATGGCTTTCATGAATGTCCAAAAATCTATCAAAAATATGTCTCCATGTGTATATTTTGTGATGGTTAAAATCTTGACACAAAACGACCACCCATACTAGGACTTTCATGAAAAAAAATCCCCCAAAATGTAAAATCTAAAAAGGCATTAAAATGTCAACTTACAACTTATTATGTTCTTTTTTCCTCTTCCTTCAGGTTAGAAGAGGCTCTTTCAGACTGTATCTGGGCCCAGAAACACATGAGGGGAAACATGGTCATTGACTACAGACAACTTGGACTTCAGTTTAAACTCTACAGTTGGCAGGTCTGATACAAACAAACAAACAAACAAACAAACAAAAAATCAAGTTAGTTTTTGTCCCTCACTGAGTCTGTCCACTCATTCACTCACTCTCTCTAAGTTTGCAGACTAACATATTTTTAAAATAAATAGAGTTTTTATAACTATAGAATCTGTTCCGCGAAGTTTCACTATATCGCGGTATTTTACAAATTGTGTATTTTTTTTTTTTAATTTCCAATGTTTTCATTATTTTTGTGATTAAAAAAAATGTTTTAGCCGGTCCTTAGTAAACAAATGAAAAGCACATCAATGTAGGATTTTATTATCATTTCAGCATAAACGAGGCTGGGATTTTAATGTCATATGAGAAACAAAAAAAAAAAAAAAAAAAAAAAACCAAAAAAAAAATTTACACAAAAACGGAAAAAAGACCGAAAAAAGACAAAAAAATTGTAATAATTTCTCCAACCACAGCTGTAGATAAAAAAAAATAATAATTTCTCCAACCACAGCTGTAGAGACATCCAGAAAAGGACATCCAAAAACTTGAAAAAAATTTGCTGATACCGCGTTATTTAAACTTCCACAAATTGCCATTTAATTTATCTCAAGACGACAATCTCCAAATTTTTATCCTAGTGTTCACAGGCTTAGAGAATGTAACGCGTTTACCTTTATTTGACGCCGCTGCGGTTACAGCTCACCGAGTGATATTCTTCGCAGCAATACTCCAACTAGCTTTAGCTGCTTACTTTAGCTTGACATGGACTTTAAACAATCTAAACAATCTAATTTAAAACTAGAACTCTTCATTTCAATTCAATTCAACTTTATTCATAGAGCACATTTCATACACAAGGCAAACTCGATGTGCTTATTATAGCTAGGTGATGCATGCCTTAAGTTCGACGCACAGCTCCTGTCATAGCTAACTACCAAGATTTTTTTGTTAAAGATACAAAACTGTTCAACAACTAAAGTCCTATGCATGTTTACATTTAACACCAGTGCCAAACGTATGCAGGCACGTATGTAATAGTCCTGCCTATCATTAGTGTAGAGGTAACTAGGTTACTAGCTAACTCATGCACTAACTCACTGAAATCAGTCAGTTCAACCTGATGGCTAGATCATTTAGGTATTTAGCCTTGGAGAAGCCGGTCAGCTTCAAAAAACACAACATTTCTTGACAAGATAGCAGCGTTAAGGTCCGGCATTCTAGTCTTTGTTTTTTAATGGTTAACTAATTATTATGTAATTGCAATGTTTTCTTAGGTTTTATACAATGCCGCAGCTGTGCACTCTCGCATGGGCCAGTGGGAGCAAGCCAGTGAGGTCCTAATGACTGCTTCTCAGGAGAATGGAGGAAGTCGAGCGGCTAACCTAGAAGTGGCTTTAAACTATGTCCTGGTAAGCGTCGTGACGTGTTGCTGAAATTACAAGATTAAATAACTGTTTTTCCCGATATCAACCGATTAAGATTTAGGTTAAAACAGTGCTTCTCAATTATTTTCTGCCCCCCTTAGAGTGCCTGGTAATGTTTATTTATTTATATGTACAAACCACTTGTATGTGCTGGCAATGACTGCAATGCTGCCCTCTAGTGACTGTAGGCGTTGATAATGTTCTGTTCATTTGTTATGAAGGAGTTAAAGGAGTTTAGAACTAGTTACTGCAACTGTGTTTTAATAAAAGTTCTTCAGAGCACTGGGGCGTTGCACTATTTTTTAGAGCACACATGATTTGGTCAAACCCAGGCATTGCGTTATCAGGTTTTCATTATGGAGGAAAAACTGAGTCTTTCCTAAAAGTGACCTTTCACCTTAAATCACAGAGGAAGGAGGTCCTAAATCCCCTCTTCGTGCCGGAAGGTGTGGTGTTTCGCCCAAGAAGACAAGACGTTGATCAGCTGCAACAGAGAGACTTCCTCGGCAAAGCAAAGGTAGTCTGTTAGATGATGAACGGAATGCTGTGGTAATACGAACCCTTTGATGCATGATCCATGATATACTGAGTTAAAAAAAAAATGTTACAAAAACGGTTTCTATGTGTTTTTAGACATAAAAATAAGAACTGAATTTGATTCTGTTTTTATACACCAAATTTTCTTTTTTAAATGTTGACACAATTATTCTGCAGTTGCAAAGGCTGACCACTGTATGGCAGTGTTGGGTGATTCTCAGGCGTCCACTGTAGAGGCTTATATGCCAACACTGCCATCAAAACCTATTCTTATCATAGAAAATGACATTTTCATAGCTGTCCACTGTAGTGACCGTCATGCATGAAAGGGTTAATAGAAGACTTTCTTTTTTCTAAATTCCAACTTATGTTTACGTTACTAATTAAAAAAGTGAATGAGTTGATGTTGTAAGTCTTCATCATATCCTCTTTGTTTTTTTTGCAGGTTATTTCCGCAATGACTCCTAATGATGACTTCGCAGGCTTTGAACCAACAAGACCACAGGTTAGTCATACGACATCTGCGATACCGTTTTTGAGTCTATCCATTTTTAATAGGACTTTCCTCCACAGAAACCTGGTTTCTATGAACCAAATGTGGAAGAAGCCCAGTGAGTATTCTTATGGAGTCACTAATTAAAACCCATTAGTATTGTTGTTTTTAAAAATGTTTTTGTAATTGCAGGCATTGGCAGCTTTAACGTTGAGTGCTTATCATTAAAATGTAATTACTGATAACGACCAATGGCAGGCATGTGCTGTATTTCGCACCATACTTTCAGCGGCGGCCTGTCTGAACAAATTCACATCTTTATGACACCGTTATCTCTATTGAAAACATTAATATTAAGCAGAAACGTTGTACAATGAGTCGTTATATATCATAGCTAACTCAAGTAGCCATAATAACGCAACCATTACTAACGCCATAGCTAACTCAAGTAGCCATAATAACGCAACCATTTCTAAAGCGACAAACCCACATGCACGGGTTTTTTTTAAAAATAATATGATTCTAATAGTGTTCTGGCCAGCACAGAAGACCTGGCTAGCTTTGGTGCTATATACGTCATGGTAATGATTGTATTTTGTCACTTTACTATCCATAAGGAATTCTCATTACAAGCGCCTGACTGTGCCGTACATGTCTCAAGGACAAGGTCAGCTGAGTGCCCCAAGAGGCGCTGTAGTATTTGTATTTGGTGAAGAGGACAAGGATGGGATGGTGACCGTCATATATGACGGACAGGTAAGAAAACAGCGACAGCAAGTTTAACCAACGTGATCAATACTCCTACTGAATTGAACGATAAAATATTCCAATGTTCCCTTTTGAAGAAACAAAGGCAGTGTTTGAAAAAAAAAAATTGTAAAAATCTTCATTTTGTTTCAGAGAGGGCGGTTGCCAGGGTCCCTGCTTGAACCAATAGATTTCAAGACATCGACAGACAAAAAGGACAATGTAATTATGTAATAATGTATACGTCCGTTTAATAACTACAGTACGTAAGCTCTTGCACATTTATGGGTTACTTCGGAGACATTGTTTTGGATCTTAAATATTGCCCGAGTTACCGCAATGTTTTTATTTCCAGAAAGGATCGCAACAGTAAGCTGTTGACGTTAGAAACTCAAATATATATATATATATATATATAAAATCTTCTAATCTCTGCTATATGGTTTGCCATCGTGAGTATCTAGTACTTTACAGAGATGGGGCAGTTCATTTATATCATGTGGCGCTTTGTAGTAACACGGTAAAAATTGTGGCTCTTAGCCTCTTGACTGGTTGGCCACCCATGATTTAGGTAAACAGCCAACGACCCAATCATCCTCTTAACTTCATACGGGCCAATGACAGCCACACTTTCTGACCTGGCTGATAGGAGGGAGCCTTAGACTTGCCTAGTAGGGCTGTTCTGGCCTCTTTCTAACCCATGTGTCATGTGAATCTATGTATTTTGTTTGGGTTTTTGTTTTTCAGAAAAATTCTCATGGAATTCCATTCCCACCAGGACTTGTGCCACCTACACGTCCCCGGGCTCAGTCTAAACCTGCACCTTCTCCTCCTGGTAAAAGCTGTTCCTTTTTTTTTTTTGTTTGTTCTTTGAAATCTCTACTATCAAGTGAGAATAGATCCATAGATGGTGGTTTGAACCGATAAGCAAACTTTTATCCGATACCATAATGTCTTCATGGCATGCTCATTTCCAACTAAATATTGTCTCTTCAGCGCAACTCTCCTCCTAATTTTCTCTCTACCTTTCTTCTTCAAACTCGATCTGTGCCGTGCGACACGTAGCTTTCATCGTTATCCATACGCAAGTTCCCGTTGTGCTGATCACATGACAACGTGTATGTGTCAGTCGAGTGCGCAACAATCCCCCAGTAAAGGTCACTGGAATTACAAAGGTTTTCACTTAACCCTTTCATGCATGATGGTCACTACAGTGGACAGCTACGAAAATGTCATTTTCTATGATAAGAATAGGTTTTGATGGCAGTGTTGGCATATAAGCCTCTACAGTGGACGCCTGAGAATCACCCAACACTGCCATACAGTGGTCAGCCTTTGCAACTGCAGAATAATTGTGTCAACATTCAAAAAGAAAATTTGGTGTATAAAAACAGAACCAAATCAGTTCTTATTTTTATGTCTAAAAACAAATGAAAACACTTAGTAACATTTTTTTAACTCAGTATATCATGGGTCATGCATCAAAGGGTTAAACTACTAGTTTGGAAAATGGTATAAGAATAAGTATTTTTTTGTCAAATGGATAGAAATTCATGAAACTTACGATCAAACTGTACACTAATTATATGGTTGTTGTTTTTTTTTCAAGTGGATAGAAATTCATGAAAATTACGATCAAACTGTACACTAATTATATACATATATACTTAAATATTGTTATTTACATACTAAATCTTCTGATTGCCTGCAGCAAATTTTATTCCGGATGATCCACCTCCTTACTACAATACTGAGACTTACACATTGCCAGCAAGAGCTCCGAATATGGCCAGCATCAAGGTGATGTCAAATTTTCTCCTCTTTTTCTTTCTTCCTTTCCTTCTTTCTTTTTGGTAAAAGTAATTATGCAACACTGCAATCCCACTAATTTAACCCTTTGATGCATGACCCATGATATACTGAGTTAAAAAAAATGTTACTAAGTGTTTTTATGTGTTTTTAGACATAAAAATAAGAACTGATTTGGTTCTGTTTTTATACA